CTGGCACCGAGACGTTTAATTAACGCTGGCTACAAGAAGAAGAAATCCGCCGCGCTGCGCAGCGCAACGGGCCGCCGCCTTCGACCGTGGAGGGGCGTGGGGTGACTGCATCGTTCCAGCGGGGTTTCATGAACTGCGTGCCTAGGGCTGTGCATGAGCTGTTGAATTTTTTTCTTAGTGTATGTCTATTACGTGAGGAAAAAGTCTACATTTTGCTTTTAATCCGGAAGCAGCAGGAGCGATGGTTGCTCTTTCCCGAGAATGAGTACCGCGTGGGGCGCGGGCTCTTGAGAAGATTTTGGTCTCTGGCATTGAGTGGTTTTCACCTTGCAGCAGGCGGATTTGGTGTTCTAGATGTGTAGAGCTTTGCCTTCGTGAGAATAATGCAATCTGTTTTCCTCTGTCCTTCCGAAAGTTATTAATATGCTTAGTTTCTAGGGAAACGGGTGCCCCCTCGCCCTTTAAATCTACAGCACCGCTCCTGTACGGGTTAAGCAAAATTTTCACAACGCCTTTGCGAACATATTTGGGTGCTTAGGAAGCTTGAGCCTCATCTGCGGAAGACTCGAGCATCAAGCCAGAAAGTAAACACCCAGTGGCGAAGAGCCGATGTCAGGAGCAGCCGACCACGACCCGACCCTGCGGCGAGGTCTGAGCCCAGACCGACAGCGCAGCCGAGAGCCGAAGGTCCCCACTCCCAGCGTGACGCTGCTGTCCCCGAAGCGCCGCGCGCTGCAGAGGTGGGACAGGCGCCCAACGCTGCTCCACGGGGAACACCAGCAGCCTCTGCACTGGAGGGTTGGGGTCCGAGTTAGTAACTTTATTAAATAACTCATTGACATACTAACTTCACTGCACGCTCGGCTGTAAGGGAGGTGGCTGAATTAAGACGTCGTCCCTAAAACGACACGACGAGGCCTTTCTTTGGGATAAGCGGAAGGATCCTATTCTAGCCCGCGACAATGCCCCCACCTCAGGCACGCTGTATCTCATAGATATATTTTTGTGGTTCATCACTATCTTCATTCAATTAGTAGGTTTACAATTAACGTTGTTATTAGAAGGAATGACTTTAATGACAAATTGTCCATGATAGTTTTTGATCTACAAAGGTTCATAATGCAGATCGTTATAGAGACATTGCCCGTTACGGCTGGTGTGAATAACTGAAGGAAAATGAGTTCAACTACCACAGAGTTTACATAATGAAGTAAACTGCAAAACCCTTTAATGCTCATATCGATTTTATCTACAATAATATATCGCTTACGTTTGAAGAATAGCATCACTAAATCAACATGCCGTTGCCGCCGTTTGCGTTTCCCTGGCTCCACGGAGGTAAGGCGATGACGTTCTGGTGCCAACTTTAATTATATTGATACTGATATAAAGAAGGCAATTTGCATAACACCACCAGCCACAGCATCGATCCGACTGAGCATCGACCCGGCTGCTCCGCAGCCTGGAAGGCAGTCATAGGATCGTTCCAGTTGGAAAAGACCTCTGAGGCCACCAAGTCCGACCGTTAAAGGTTACAGGGACGCCCAACGTGGGGCTCGAACCCACGACCCTGAGATTAAGAGTCTCATGCTCTACCGACTGAGCTAGCCGGGCTCCCGGGGGTTTGTCATAAATTCCCTTTACCCCGCTTCAGACGGTGACAGCCGGAGTGAAGCATCGCACCGATGCCCTTTCCGCCCATTAGCTCCTATGTCATTACCGTAATAACAGCGGCCGATTAATTAATGCCCTGGACGGGGGTTTGCACCCTGCAGCGCAGGCGGTGGCTGGGGTCGCCCCGCCCCCCGCGCTAGCCCCGCCCCCG